GGATAGAGTGACAGACCAAGACTCAAGAGAACTCACAGGAGTGCGGTGGTACTGATGAAACCGCTACTCACATACTTTTTGGTTTGCCATAAGTTGGATGTGGCTTGATGGCACATAACACACACATGGGTGTGTACAAGGCAAGTGTGTCTTGCCCCCTACCTACCTACCCACCTTTAAGAGACTGCTGGAGACAGTGTTTTTAAGAAATACATTTGGTTGCACCCTCATCCAATGTTTTTCAACATTGCCTGCCATTATGAAATGCTAAGCTTTCCGGTTTTGTTTTCTGATATGTTTATTTTGTGTGCGTTTTTAATTGTTTGAGGTATTATGTGTCTGTCTGCTATTGTTTGTTTCCTTAATTGTCCACCGCTCAGAATAGTGCATTGCCTTAATGTGGGTGGTACTTAAATGAAATAAATAATCGACCAAGCCCTAGGGTAGGCTTGCCCTCCAACAGGGATCCTTCATCTGCTGAGTAGACCAGCCCTCCACTGTTTTGGACTAGTGAGCACTCTTCCTCTGCCTTTCATCACTTGGTCTACTCTCTAATATACCCTGCCTACAATTCACAATTTGCCCTCAAGGTCTGGTCTGCCAGTTTCCTTTCTTGTGATGATAGACCAAGGCCAGACTTGGAAGTTTGAGGAAGAGATGTGTCCCTTCATCTTTGGACCTTGAGGCAAAGCCTAAGGCCTGTTAAGAAACAACCAAAGGTAAAAAACCATGTCATAACCTTCCACGTCTGCATTCTGCAGTTTGATGTATGTGTGTGTGTATGTTTAATCTCTAAGGCTACAGACATTTCTTCCGGCAATATCTAGAGGGCAAAGATCCCATGTATGTCTGATCCTTGCAGTCCAATGCATCCCTCAGCCCAGCTCACTCTGCAATTGAATTGACAACAAAATGTTGTTAATTGCTTGCAGGTATTTTAGCTGGCATATATAACCTAAAATGGGCTTGCTGGCCAACTCAGTGAGACAGGTATCTGGCTGTAGAGCCAGTGATCAGGAGTTCAATTCTGCAGTGTGCATCTCAGATGAGCCAGCCTGCATAGGTAGCCTTGGGCCAGCTGCACAGTCCCCAATGATCAGGAGTTCAGTTCTGCAGCGTGCATCCCAGAGGAGCCAGCCTGCGTAGGTAGCCTTGGGCCAGCTGCGCAGTCCCAGGGCACCCCCCCCCTCCCAAGAAGGAGGAACTGGTAAATCACTTCTGAGTACTCTCTACCTGGAAAATCCTGAAAAGGTCACCATAAGTCAGAGTTGACTTGATGGCAGATGATGATGATGATGCTATACATTCCTATACCAGCTTGTCAGAGAGAAGGTCCAATTGACATTATGTTGGGGTACATATGTTACAGGATTGTGTACACTCTTCATTCCACTAATTAACTACCCTTTGATGAGTTCGGAACAGGAATCCTGAGATGAGGCAAAAATTAAAGATAAAGCAACTTACGCAGACTAGCTCTTTCCCACTGCCCAAGAATCACAGATATTAAAACAGAAGAGCTGTCTGTAAAGCAACTTACACAGACTAGCTCTTTCCCACTGCCCAGGAATCACAGATATTAAAACAGAAGAGCTGTGTACCACATTGGACCAAAGGGCCAACCAGCAGCCTTTGACTCTAGCAGGACATGAGTGCCATCGTTTCTTTCATTGTTGCACCCAGCACCTGTTATCCAGAGGCATGCTGTCTGTAATCCTGGAGGGAGTATATCATGGTATCAATGTAGCCACCAAAACAGTTACCCTTCATAAATCTGTTTAATCCCCATCCAAAGACGAGTCGGCAGCCGTCACCATATGCTGTGAAAGCGAGTGGCTAAGCATCTAGGTTGACATATGTGCCAAGGGCTGAGGTCAGGTTATGTAACTGAATGGACGGCTCAAAGTACAGCACCTCCTGTTATAAAGGTGTGGAAGTTGCAAAATTTGTGTGAACATGAGGATTTTAGAAGCATGAAAATAAATATATATATACACACATATTACTATTTTTTTATTTCCTCCATTTTTCAACATTATGATGTTCTTTCCAGAGAACTCCAAAATCAGTTCAATGATGCCAGAAAAGATCTCACAAAGGCCTTTGACTTGGTTAGCAGGGATGGACTTTTTAAAATAATTCCCAAGATTGGATGTCCACCTCATCCAAACCATTTTTGTGATTTAAAAAAAAATAGATTAATTACCTAGTTTTAAAATATGCCGTAGATTATCAATGCCAATGAAAGACAACATCCACCCTCCTGATCTGTAGGTTCCCAGCCAGTACTGGGCATTGCCAAGGGTAATGGGGCATGTAGCAGACCTTCCTCATTTAGCTGGGAACAAAGCCAGAAGGTTGGTACTGGAGCTTTATATTCCTTCTGCGAGTCTCAAGAACATGGCAGGTAGGAAAGGAGAACAATAGCCAACAACCTGGAGGTGGGGAAGCTACATGACAAATTATATGCCACCAATGTCCTGCAACTCCTGGCAACCCTATGGAAGAGTGATCTCCAAAATGTCCTGTCCTCATCTGATCTGCTCAGCTCTTGTAAATGCAAGCCTCTGGCTTCTTTTAGGGAGTCAGTCCATCACATATTTGGTCTTCCTCTTTTCCTTCTGCCTCCCACCTTTCCCAGCATCATTGCCTTTTCCAGAGAATCCGGTCTTCTCATGACATGCCCAAAGTAGGCCACCCTCAGGACATGACAAATAGAAGGAATGTATTCTCTTACCAGGTCAGCATGCTATTATCACCTTGATAAGCTAGCTGCTTTCAGGAGAACAGCTTTGTAAGTAACTCATCAAATCAGGATGCTTCGTATGCTTCCCCCCCCCCCCCCTAAATGCTCTCCATAAGCTAGTGGACTTAGAATTCAAGAATGTGTTCTTACAGCGAAATTCCTCTTCAGTATATCTTGACACCACAGACAGAAGTGGCAATGTTTTGAACAGTTTTCCTTTCAGTTTAAATGTCTCTTTGGTCCTAGCAGTCCATCTCTAGTGTTAAATTCAAAAAGAAATAGTAGAGGGAGGAGAAAAATCCTAGAAGCAAAAAATTATTTCCACACTGATATTAGAAACACTAACATGTATTTTAATTTATGTATAGAGGCTAAATGCCCAGCTTTTAATTTTTTAAATTATACTGTGCACCTTCTATGTATTACCCAGCATTCAATGCAATGATGGTACCAGAGAAACAGTCACTGAAGTGTTCAAAATCCATTTTTGACTCTCCTTGTCTAGGGCATGAAATTTTAGCCCACCAAGGGTTACATACTGTGGAGGAGGACTCCATATAAACCTACAAGTTAGACATTCTATGACATTGTCACCTGCATAGTTGTAAAAATGTCTCCAGATTTCATCTAGTTGCAGTGTAAAGGAGTTTTCTACAAAACAAAACTTTTAAAAAATATTCAAACATTTTTGCTATTGGGGTAATCGTTTTTGTAGCCTGTTATGAATTTTTTAAAAAATCCCATGTTCATTTTTGATGAGCCAGAATGCAGCAAAGCACAAATGTCATTTTCTAGTTGTCAGCAGACTAGCCTCATTTGAGAGAAACTGTAATTTCACCCTTTGAAGGCACACTGGAATTCACTTGGGTTAAGAAATACTCCACAATAAAGAAACATACATTTTGTTTTGTTTTATCTGATATTATTTCACTTTTATCCCACCGTGCATTTTTCTGACTCTGGATGTTTAGGCAGAGCAGGCTTTATTCTGTACATACATTCATACCTTTGAACATGCAACATTTTTATACACAATACACTGGGATTCTCACTGGGGTCAGGAAACACCCCATAACTTACACAGCACAAGCTATTTTTTTTTTTTACATAATGCATGAGGGTCAATCTGCACTTCCGTGGTTTATAAGTTTTTGACAGACCTCAGAGCTTATTAAGCAGAAGCTTACAGATATTTTAACAGAAAGTTTGTCCCACAGTGGAGTTTACTCCCAGGTAGGTAGGTATGCATAAGTAATGCAGTTTGAGATTGAGATCACTCAGCTGAGAAGCTGCTCCAGACAGTTTGTTAACATGCATTATCCAGATCTGAGAAGCAAAGTCACCTTGTCAGGAAAAGCTATTCCTCAAACAATCTAAATCAAACCCATCAGGTGACCTGGGGAATTTTAAATGCACGATCGCCTGCTCCAAAATTTAATCTCTATTTTTGGAATTACACATCTCCCCACAGCTCAGTTGTCTCTGAACTTCCTGTGGCTTGTTCCTCTCCCATCCACAATGCACTCTTCACCTCTTAAGAAACATATACAGTAAACTCCTGAAAGTATTCTAAATCTGGCTTCTGCTAGTTAAAAACTTGGCACATGGATCTGCCATGGCTGTCTATGCCCTTACTAGAGAGTGTTACAGGTTACTGTAGCCAGGTATGTTCCCACATGGAATGAAGTATTCCATTCCTGCCTTCCCAATGGTGCCCCAGCTACATTTTATCCAAAGGTATTTCTCCCTAGAAATAACCAAGGAAGTAAGGGGATGGGAGTTATTATATGGAAATTCTTGGGTGAGGTGCCACCCATACTCAGACCATGAGGAACCTACATCTCTTCCCTTCCCCTTGCAGTAGGAAGGCAACTGCAGTGAGACCACCAACAAACTGAGTCCTCAGGGAAGGCTCTCCTACCCACCATTTTGATTTTCAGGAACCAAATTGAGGACAAGTTGTAGTATCTATAATGTAGGTTTCCAAGCTTAAAGTGCAGGCTGCTTGGAAAGTCAGAATGAATGGGTGGTTCAGAAAAGGAGGTTTTTTGGTTTTTTTTACCTCAGAATACCTTAGCTCTGAACTCATGAGTGTATGGTTAAGCATTTTTTCCATTTTCAGTGAAAATCAAGATAGACTTTTCATTGCCCTGGGAGACTTAGGGCATTCTCTTAGGCAACTGTCTTGGGCCCATATGTCCAATTGACAGTAACTGCTCTAGGGAAGCAATAATAGCTAGAGAAGGAGAGCGCATTCTCTTAGGCAACTGTCTTGGGCCAACTGTGTTCCACTATGAACAGAGCACATATGTCCAATTGACAGTAACTGCTCCAGGGAAGCAATAATAGCTAGAGAAGGAGAGAAAGACTGAAAGAATGGAAATGGTGCCTCATCTGGAATCTGAGGCTGAGAGTTTCTGCTTTATAGTAAGGCCAGCCTGGCATGCATGCATTTTGGGGCAAAGAGGGCAGGCACACGCCTGTAAGTTTCACCCATCCACTGAGCCGCTGCTTTTATTCTTGCGGCTGAGCGGGAAGGCAGATTTGCTCTGCGGCTGCGTCATCTTGCTGGCTAGGTAGACAAAGGGCTCGATGAGAGTCCGGCGGTCAGCAACGGAGACTTCCCACAGCTTCACTTTCTCTGCTTTGGCCCAGTGCTGGGCTGCCTCGTGGTCCACACGCCGCTGATCCTGCAAGTCACTCTTGTTGCCTAAGACGACAATGGTGACCTGTTGAGATTCAGGAGAGGAAGGGGGGGAGGGGAACTTGTTACCACAAATAACAGATATTGTTCACAATGGAAAACGGCTGACTCAAGCCATTTAACGGCCTGAAGCAAAGGACAAACCAATGCCTCCAGCAAATGGGTGATCAAGATTGCTGCAGAGAGGCTTGAAACTCCTCACAATCCTAATGGAAATCTTTAGAGCGCTGACGGTGTCTGAGGTCAGCAATCTTTTCTCCACTGCTCAGTCAAGAGGTGACCACGTGAGCAGTGGGGGAAAGTGGGCAGGCATGCTAGGCTCCACCCACTTTTCACCACTGCATGCAAAGTAGGTGAGGACTGCACAGAGTCTCAGACTGACCTCCCCTGAGCCCCAAGCCCAGTGGATCTAAGGAATGATCCAGAACAAAACCTTGGATAGATTACTCTCAGGGCTAGTGCTCCGAGATAGCCGTCATACTGGGATTTATTTATTTTTTGAATCATACACTTTAAAAAGGAGACATTGTTCAAAACTCTGGACTGAGCTTGGTTTTTTTGGACCATTACATCCTGTCACTTACGAGCTTCCTTAGTAATGATGTGATTGAAAGACAGGATAAAAATATTTCAGACAAGCAAATGTGTGTTCGTATTTCCAACTGTGCTATTTTGAAAGGAGCTGTAACAGACAGGAACCAAGATAAAGAGGCAGGCCTTTCAAACTGAATTATTCTTCAGGCCTCATGTTCACTCAAGTCATTTGATGGCAACTTTTACAATATAAAAAGACTTCACCGCTAAAATATCAAAATGAACTATTATGAGACAAAGATTTTTTTTCCAGTTAGGACTGGGAGGAAGAATCTATGTTTCTTCACCTCAGGGGTTTCTTAACAGTTATAAGTGTAGGCTCTGCTTTTTATTTAACAAAAATGCTGTCTCTTTTCACATGTATTTATATGTCATTTCTTTTGACTTTGTTAAAGGGTGAAAATAGTTTAAATGATGTTTCTAGTTTTCTTCATGGGACTTTTTCCTCCCATTCTGCTAGTTTTATGGTCCAGTGATGCAGTGCTCAGCAGCTGCCCAAGATTATGGGCTCTGGTGTAACTCTAGCCACATCCTGGACTGACCAAATACATCCTGCTAGTTCAGATGGAAAACAGGACGATGCCCCTTGTCCCCATTCCACATATAGAAGTTGACTCAACTGGCAGTTGAATCGTACTTCAGCACTGGCAACAGGGCATTATGCTGCATTTGAGACAACAAAATAGCCTTCAAGATGCAAGGCAGATTGCATGTTTTATAAAGCTCTGTCTTCCACTCCAGAACCAAGCCATTGCTGGCCACAGCAGTTACCTCATTCTACCTAATTGTAGGGCTGGTCCTGGCAAACACTGAGACTACGGTTTCCAGTACTTCCTCAAACCCTCTAAAGCATGTGTTTGTGTACACACACACCCATACACTCACTCATGCATGCATGCACGCACACACACACACATAAACACACCTCTCTGGCATTTCTGCATGATTTATCCTGCAACTGGCTTAATTTGGAAAGCACGTCAAGAAAGAAACCCAGTAGTTCACATACCTCCTTCTTATCCTTGCTCTTGTCTATTTCCTTCTTGAGAATCTCTGCCCTCTTGAAGGATTCCTTGCTATCAATACTGTAAACCAGCACATATCCATCAGTGCAGGAAAAGCAATGTTTGGGCAGCTCCAGTCCATCCCTCAAACCTCGAGTATCATAGAAGCGAACCTGCTCCCGCACCCCCCGGTCTGTCTCAATGGAGCCCACGTAAATGTCTTCCTGAGTTTCAATCATCTCCGAACCTGCATAAAGACAAGGGAGAAGGCAATCATTCACACAAATGCCAACATTGCTCTCTTTTGATAGAAGGATTTCCTACCTCTTCATAAACACAGTAAGCACAGTATATTTTGCTAACTGTGCCTTGAAGTGATTCTCTTCTTTGGTTTTTTTCCTAGTTCCCAGGGTAGCTGAAGTCCTACTGAGGACACACCCTTTCTGAACTTAAATGTGTTATGATATCAAATGAGAGGCAGACCTGTTTTTCCTCCCATTCCTTACTGCCAAGTACACCTGTTCTGAACATATTTTAGGAGTTGTTTGTATACATTCCTTGTAGAACAGTTTCAAGCCAGCGGAAAATTTACTTACTTAATTTTTATATTTACTTTATTTATATCCTGTCATTTTTCCAATACAGGGACTCAAGGTACAACTGCTAAAAATACATATTTATGTTTAAAATAATTGCTAACCATTACATGTTACTAAGTAAATGATACAGTAATTAATTAAGTGATGCTAAAGATTCCTAAAATTTACACCAGTGCTGTACTTCGTTGCTGTTTCACTCCACATGTTTTACATTATTTTAATAACAATATAACACAAACAAGAAAAATAGTTACATCAAACATGCTCCCCCACACACTCCATGTTGAGATTTTGATGTGAATATATATTAAACGTAAATGTTTTATAGTTAAATGTAAAATGGCTGATTTTACCTGAGTCATTGTACTGATTGTATTCAGGTGTGGATCAAGGTTTCAAACTAAATGCTTTACATCTGTGTACATGATGAAACTTTATGTAACAGAAAATGACGTAATGTATTTTCTGATTGGTCACAGAACTGTACATAAGTAATGTGTAAAATGAACGTCTTTATCTGCTGTAAGTCAAATCACTTTTTCCTATGCTGTGTGTTGCTTCATGTCATGTTATGCTGCCAGATGAATGTCTATTCTCTATGTATATATGTAAATAGACTAGGTTGATGTTTTACTCTCTCAGAATTATAGTGTCATAGTATCTCTGCTAACCAATATCTCCTTACTCTGCTAATGTTATGAGAATACATGTTTCCTTGTAAGCTTTGAAGCCAACACTCACCGACCACATGATTTCCATAGAGAAGCTGTTCCAGGATGGAGGTCTTCCCAACGGATGCCTGTCCACAGACTACCACTTTGCAGCTCTTCCCCATTGTCTGGTGGGGGAAGAGGATAAATGCAGGAAACTATAAATCAAAGGTGAGCAGTGGAAACAGGTGGCTGAGAAAATGTAGATGTGCTTAAGGCCATCTTTGGACATCTTTAAGAAGAAGCATCAAGAGAGTGATCAAACTTCCTGAATCCCAAGAAGGTACCAATACATTGGAGGAAAGGGCATGAGCAAGAAGGTATTAGACAATGTCTACTCCCAAATCAGAGCTTGGAAAAGTGATATTGAAAGCAGGAGAAGGCAACCTCCAAAGACCTGGGAGTAGCATATGTCCATCAATTGGCCCTAATGGCTCCTGTAACCGCTTATATATTCTTGGTTAGATAACCCTTAAATTAACCTAAGAGAATCCAAAACAGAATATTTAGATTTGGGCAAATATATATTTTTGGCACTGTTGTGTGCAAGGGGGGCTTTTTTCGTTAAAATTCTGTATGCATGGTTTTAACTGAAAAAGCTGCCTTGTGCACTCCAGAGATAGATAGATAGATAGATAGATAGATAGATAGATAGATAGATAGATAGATAGATAGATAGATAGATAGATAGATAGATAGACAGATAGATAGATAGATATTAAAAATTGGTTTGGGGATGTTGGAGATCTTAAAAAAAAACAGATTGATTGATTGATTGATTGATTAAAAATTGGTTTGGGGATGTTGGAGATCTTAAAAAAAACAATGGCAAAATCTTCCCCTAAAGGACAAAAGAGAAAATTTCAAGCCAAACTTGTTTTTTTTACCAATAAAGTTTTATAATAGGGGCGAGGGTGAAGGATTCTAGGACTCCCCAGGGGTGCTGGGAGACCACATTTTGCCTGCACCTTTTGTAGAGTTTATAACAATGCAATCCGACTAGCTATCCCACTTCCCATACAGCTTATCACTAGAGATGTGGAAAAGCTGAAATGAAACATGGGCTTTGATAGTAACATCTCAAAACAGCAGGTTTGTGTTACAGTCCTATCCACCATTCATCTTCACTATCCTGGTCCAGCTGATCAGTCTCTAAAGGAAGGAAGTCTTGTGTTCAATAGGCATCAACCTAGATGAGTTTTTTCTCCTCTTCCGGGGCTCAAAGAGTGGGGCTCATGTCTTGTGTTTATCCAGCATGGAACTTACATTTTAAGAAACGGTTGTGGTGAGGGTCTGATCTGTAGTGTAAATATCCTTACTTTTACAGATATAACTTCAACCTTAAATTTTTGCCTTAAACCAGATATTTTCTCTCTTTTGGGAATAACAAGTGTAAGAACACTTGGCGGGGGGGGTTGGTACACATGTCGAATACTTCTTTAAAATGGACAGCTCTACAGTACTGCTAATCTTATTGTCCTCAGAAAGTATCTTATGGGCCAGGAAAAAAAACTTGGATGTCCCCTTCTAAGACAAGAGAGAGGGATTATTCTTGGAAAAGGAGATCCAAGCTAGGAAACCACCCCTGAGTCACCATGAAAGCCTTCAAGACAGTTTTTTTTCTTCAACACTGGGAAATGGAGGGAAAAAGACATGTCGCTGGGGAGAGGTGTTGCACCATGGCAGCCTGTGGAACTGCAGGATCCCCAGATCTCCAGCCATGACTCGGAACAGGTTGCAGGCCTACTTCAGCTCCTCTCTCCTACTGAGTCAGAAGCAGCGATTTTCTTCAAGATCGGGAAAGGAAAAAGGAATGCTTAGCCCCCTCATTTCTGCACAGCTGGCATGAGGGAGATTTGCAAGATGCTGGGTTCTTTAGGGATTCCGACATTGGACCTCTCAACACCTCACAGTGGGCTTGCTCTGTCCAAAAAAATGAAGTATGAGACTACCACCTCTTTTTGCCAGTAATATGGACAGACACTTCTCTTATTTCATGATGTCATCACTGTGGTGCCCAGTTATGTTTACCTGTATTGTTTATGGGGTTGGGTAAGTATGTGATGGGAGGAGTGAATGAGAAGCATAGAATGTTGGTAAGAGTGGTTCTGATTCGAGAGGCGAGTGCTGGTGAACGTTTTGAGCAGTCTGGTGAGGAGAGATAAGGGAGAGGGTGGCATTTGGAATCTCAGAAAAATGTCTCTGGAAATATATATACAATTCAAATTTAGCGTACCTGCCACATTTTACTTTCAGGCTCAGATTCTTTATTGTACAGTTATGGAACCAAACAGGACACTTTTTTTCCTATTCAGATTAAATCGGAATCATACATTCCTTGTCCACTGTAAGTGTAGCACAGTGAATAAGATAGTAATGATTGTCCATCACTACTTTTGTGAAACGGTTATTATTTTATCTTGCACGTATTTGTGCTCTTGCAAAGAAATATTCCATGGAAGGGTCACATGGCACAGTGTGAGGCTGTCGGTGAGAGCAAGGCCCCTCTCACGGGAGTGCCGTCCCTCCCGCTCTCTGCCGACGAGGAGGTGCAAACACCACCCATTCCCCCTCCCAGGAAGATTAGACCACCTGAGCAAAGCCCGGGGAGTGTGGAGGAGGAATTGAGAGGAATGTCCGTTGGAGAAGGCGGGCATAGTTTGGTGGGGAAAAAACAACAACCCCGGAGTAGAAGTAGAGGCAGGACTCGGGGATATAAAGAGGGGGAAGGACAGCTTGCCTCATCGTTGGGAGTGGATATGGCTAGAAGACCCGTAGACTGGGATGGTGGAGAAGCTGAGGGTCCCAAGAAAAGCGGCAGATGCCTGGAGAAGAAGTGAGCTTACACCTAAACCCTCTTATTGGGGGTAGCGTGAGATGAAGGAGTGGAGGAAGAGGTTGAGGGAAGAAAAAGAGATGGTTGAGAGGGAAAGCAGAGGAAGATTGGAATGCCTGATGATGCAGCAGCAGCAGAGAGGTCCTTCGGGAGACTTTGGCCAGAGAATGCCTCCTCCCGGGACCCGATCTGGACGGATGACTGGGACGATTATTAAACCCAGACTGTACCCTGGACTGAATGGATGACTGGGACGAAGACACAGTACCCCTATTGGAGAGGGAGAAGGGACGATTATTAAACGCAGACTGTACCCTGGACTGGCCGGGTCCCTGGAATACCCAGGAGATTAATCCATTCAAAGTTGAAGACTGGAAGCCCCCTCCTAACCTGTTGTTAGAGGGAGACAACGGTTGGAATACGTTTGTAGATATCGGCTGTTTGTTAAATAATCCAATAAATGTGACTCCTATTTCCAAACCAAGGAAGTCTGCCAATTTATTCGAAGAAAAAGTGGAGCCAGGACTCAAACCCTCAAACACAGGTACCGCCTATTTGTTACATTTCATAATACTTTAGCCTCGGTATTCACTTTTCTCTGTCTCTGTATCCACCTGTATTTGTCTTATCTACCACTTGTGATTTCCCCACACATCTAGCAAAAAGAGCTCAAGAGCATGAAAGCTGACTGTCTATATATTTGTTAGTCTTTAAGGTACAAAGCACTTCCCTTCTTACAGAGGCACACTTAGTAAAGAGCTAGGAATGGCTGCTGCTCTGTAGAGTGTACATTTCATGGCACCCCATGTTTTATGTTGCTTATACGGAATGTGACCATGCAAATCCAATCTAAACCTGAAAACTGTTGGCCAAGAGATCTGCTTGAAAAAGCACAGCCAGTGCCGACTGTCTTGCTACCCCTGCATGGGTGAAGGTGCAAACTTACCTTCTGAAGCCCCTTGTCTCCTGCTGTCTTTGCTTTCAGCCTGGGTCCAGTCCTATCAGGGAGAGGAACTGAGAGGTCGACAAGTTAGCATGCCTAGGAGGAGAGGCAGCAATGGGAGAATGCGGCTGACAGCTCCACCTAGGGTTGCATTCTGGACAAGGAGACTCCAAAAGCTGCACTTCAGGAAACAGTATACAGTATTTAAATAAGAAGTGCCGCAACAATGCTATGTTCTGCACTGTGCAAAGGACATACATGAAACATTAGAGAAGGGAGATTGGTTATTGGTTGACGTGTGGTCATAACCACATGTCAAAATTAAATTATGCAAGCCACTATCACGAGACACAATGGCCATGCAAGAAGATGCCATGCAAGAAGAATAGGTCTGTTAACAACCATTCACTTCCATAACTGAGCAGAGAAGGGTTTAGCAGACATCAGGCTTGTGGGATTTATTTGGTTTTCTAGTAGAAGCATGTACATTGTTCTTTAAGGAAAACTCCCAAGTTCATCAGCCAATGTCTGGTGCAAAAGATATCCGCTTAGAATGGATGTCTGAAGAAGTGAGTAACATTCCATGACAGCTAACATTAAAATATAGCAGTTTGCCTTTAAAGTGCCACAAGGTCTTTTTACTTTTGTTTTGCTTTGTGTTTCCTTTTTAACCATTTAGAATGAAAGCATTCTGGGACTACCATTGTATTGTGACACTATAGACTTTTGAGTACCAGTGTATAGTGGTACTGGCTGGTGGTCATGGCTTCCAGACCCTGCTGGTCAAGTCTGTGCTGAGTCACTTACAATATTTGCTGGAGACATAACGCTGACTCAGGATCACCAAGCTTCTTCCTATGAAAGTTATACATCAAGTTAACCTTGCCAATTTCCTTCAAAGTGAAAGGCGACTTTAGTTTTTGAGGGACTTCTTTAATTTTTTCAGGAGAAAATATCATTCTTTCTATATTTAGAAGACACAAAATCATTTTCCAAATATTTTAACTAAAGCTGAACACCTGCACAACATTTATCAGATTTTGGGTGACTATCTTTGGGAAGAAAAGCCCTTACCGTATGTCCCTTCCAAATTCTAGAAAACTCCGGTGACTTTGGATCAGTTACTCCTGTACCCAGACACTGGCACGGAATCCTATAGGCAGTCACTTTTAAGTGTATTACTTCCCACAGCTACCTGAGGATACCTGATAAGATGCTGGCACATGTCTGATCACATGTTGATGTAGCTAACATCAACATATTTATTCTTTGGGGTTTTTTTTTTACAATGCACATAGCTACCCTCCACAATTATTGACAATCACAAGATGAGTTCAATAGGTTTTATTGTCTCTAGGCACCAAAGTTTAGCGAAAGTATGAATACGAAAAAAGACCACTCAGCAAACGCCAGTAGTCCTTTCACTACAAATTACTGTCGAAGCAACTGACGTCTGACTTCTACGCTCCTCCGCGAAGCCACGGAACCAATTAGTTCCCCCTCTTGGCGGACTTCGAGCCGTTCGCTCGTTAGTCAGCCCAACCGGAAGTGGCCTCTCTACCTCAACGGACTCTCTTTCCGGATGTGAACGGATGAACTTTCTCTCCTTTCCTTCTCTCTTTTTCTCGCTCTCTGTTCCCGGCTCGCCGGCCGTTGATTGCAGCAACAAGGAAGCAAGATGGCGGCGGCGGGCGGAGATTGCGACGTGATTATGGCGCCTGCGGCGGCAACACCAGTGGTGGCTTCGCATTCGGAGGCGCCGGCGATGTTGAGCGACGACGACGAGGAGGACGCGGGGACGCGCCGGTGAGACACCTCCGTCCTCATTGTCCCGAGGAAGGAAGGAAGGCGCTTTTCCTCCATTGAAGAGAGAGGGGCTGCTGGGTGGGGGGCAAGAGGAGAGAGGGAGGTGGAGCCTGCTTTATCGCGGGTGGGGGAAGAAAGAAAAAAAAGGGCGGCTTGTGTTATAGAGGGGGTTGCTAGAAGACAGGGAGTGCTGGGTGCATGGCATTGCCGTTTGTTGGACCGTCGCCAAAGATTCATGAATGAAAGAATTCAATATGAAGACAGTTCATCCAGAGTGGGATCACTAAGTGGAGCCCCCATGCGCAGGAGTAGTGTATCTGAAATAGCAAGTGTTGGGGCGGGGAAGAAGTGATAGGGAAAGATCTCTGCCTTTATATCTGCATATAGGCTTTCTTGAAGCTTCCAGGTGGAACTAAGATGCTGGATGGGACGAATCCTGCTACTTAGCAGTTTGTAACAGGGATGGTCAGGAGAAACAGGAGTAGTTATACCTGAAAATGTACTAGAACTCACATTCGAGAGCTAGCCCATGTTCACTGTAAGGATTTCTGCTAATGCCAACTGTGCACTTACAGTAGATTTCAAGGAACTCACTTAATACCTCAGTTCTGGTCATGTTTAGGATTGTGCTACAATTTTTTGAATGGTTTGACCCTGACCTGGTGGGTTCCTTATTGGATCCTATACACTGAGGTAGTGTTCTAACTGTTTTACAGAATACTTACTTCCAGCCACCCTGAAAATTTTTATGCACAAACTGATTTTTAAACAGGTAGTATTTTGATATCCAGTTGTAAGACCTGTGCAATCCCAGCTTGAAATATGGAGAGCAAATCTCATAAAGATTTGAAAACATTTAATTAATTCACTTTATTTCTCAGGTTGGAATGGGAGCTGTTATCAAATAATATAGCGGACAGGGATAAATTCCATTGAGGAATTTCTTATTAAAAGGAACATTTGTTCCTTTTAATAGGAAACAGAGTGGAGATTCTAATATAGTACAGTACTGTATATCTTAAGACAGTGATTGATCCCATCTTGTTAATAAAATGATGAAAGTGTGGTATTGATTAGAAGCAACCAATTACATTTCTGAAGTAGTTTTATAAATTAGAAGTTAGGAGTCAGGTTTCATGGTTCTATCCTTTTGCCTCTGCACATGCCTTGTCTATGGTTTTGTTGTTTCACAGCCAGTCATTTTTTCTTTCTTATGGAGAAAATTATAGGTTTAAAGAAATCTATGGAAAAATCAGTGATTAATCTGGAGGCATATGGTGAAAACTCTGCCCTTCAGTTATTTTTTGTATACAGCTTGTTCTAGGGCTGTGACCGTATCATAGTGATAGAATACATGCTTTATACACACAAAAATAACAAAAAGAGGAACATTTGCAGTTCAATATCTGGATAGTTGCTGTCAGGTGAAAGTAGAATGTACTAAGCCAAGTGGGCCAATAGTTTGATTTAGAATAAAGTAATTTCTTACGTGCTTTTTTATTGTTGTTGCAGGGAAGGGCAATGACTGTGGTTGGCTAAATGAGCAGGGAGTGGTGGCAGTCAAATGAGCCTTCTGGCTATCTGGAGAGTTTCTCTTGTGCAGAGTAGCACACCTTACTTTAGATTTCTTGTCTGACCTGCACTGTGATCCTTATGTGTATGTATGGTACTTCTATTTGTAAGAGATGAGCAAGCGACTAATTTAGCCAGGTGGTTTAATATGTGCTTCTGTGTCACTGTGTGACTACTGACACTTGTATGTCCTTTCTAATTGGTTGATCACAGTGAGGTTTATTTTCAAGGAAGCTCTGGGAATAAGGTTAGACGAGGAGTGAGTTTAGTAGTTTGGATAGGATTTGGTTTAGGGCCTCGATATTTGGCGGAATGCCTACTCCCACCAAAATCTACCCGTATCACTTGATCTAGTCAGGAGGTGAGGTTGAGGAGCCTAACGCCTAGGGAGGCCCATTAGGAAAAAACAAGAAACCGAGCCTTCTCGGCAGTGGCTCCTCGCCTTTGAAATAAACTCCCCCCTGAGAGCCACATGGCCCCTTCGCTGGGCATTTTCAAAAGCCAATTGAAAACCTAGCTGTTTAAGCAGGCCTTCCCTCCAGCCACTATTTGATTTACTCTTTTCTTTTTTTTTCCATCCTGAACAATTTATTACCGATGTTGTATATTGTTGTTTTATTTTAAATTGTTTTATTTTTATGTGGTGTTAGCCGCCCAGAGTGGTCAATTGACTAAATGGGCGGGATATAAATACAATCAATCAATCAATCAATAAGAATGTGAATTTCCTATATGTAAGATAAATCTAGTTCTCCCATGAATTAATGAGTAGCAAGTGGAGATGTTGGGAGCAAATCTTACTCTATTCTGATCCAAAGTGTACCAAACTCTTGTCCATTTGGCCACTACCGAGACATATCTGGGAACAATGGTTTTGTCAGTACAGTATGTGTTGACAGTCTGCTTGGAGAGACCAAGGTCCAAAGGGTTACTCAGTGTCTCTTTCTAAGAGGAAAAAGGTACTGCCATTCCCTTCCTTTCAAATTATGCTAGCTATTGTTTTTGCCAGGTACTGCGAAGAGTACAGTTTGGGATTGTAAACAGCACAGCAGTGTTTTTAAAACTGTGGTATAGACTACTCTCTGATTGCTTTGAGTGTTTGTCGTTCTTCAGCAAACAGGATAGAATAACTAACAAAATTCCCTAAAGGACTGCTCGTACAAGTATGTGCTGGAGCAAATGTTGTGTTCCTGCAAAGCAAAAAGGTCAAATAGGTCTTGTTGGTGTCCATGAAATATCTGAACACACTCAAAAATCAACTGCAACATTCAGGGGTTCCTTAGTTGTCCACTTGTGGAAAAGCTTTCTTGAAACTTGTTACATTTCATGAAGTTTGTATACCAGAAATGTTGTGTGCGAATTGTTAATGGTGTAATTGATGAATAGCAATTGCATACAGTATTAGGTTCTCATGATCCCTGGAATTCTATGCCACTAATAATAAGAATAGTGGATCAGGTTTTTTAAGTCCCCCAAAAGATACGTTTTCAGCAATAGATCCCCCCCCCCCCCCGCCAGCACTAGTTTAGTAGAAAAATCATGGCATCTGTGCCAATGCCCCTAGGCTTGCTTTTCCCAACTTGGTGACCACCAAGTGTGTTAGTTAGGCTACAATTTGCATCAGCCTCAACTAACATGGCCAAAAGGAAGCAATAAGGAAGTTGATCTGAACCAGTTCCAGGGCATCAGATTGGGGAAGCTACAGTTTGCATCAGCCTCAACTAACATGGCCAAGAGGAAGCAATAAGGAAGTTGATCTGAACCATTTCCAGGGCATCAGATTGAGGAAGGCTGGACTCAGTAGTTCCTAATAGACATGATTAAACAAGTTGGGGCTGAGACCAGAGGACAGTCTGGCACACTGTGCTTTTCTAAATATTCTTATCATCTGGATCTGGGTAGAAATTCTAGCAATCACTTGTTTTCTTGGCTCATTAGCTCTTGCTGCAGTCTTTGTCCATGCTCCCTTTGTGTTCAAGAGTCTTTGCTTTAAACCAAGAGTGTAAAACATATGACCCTCCAAATGTTGGACTACAATTTCTAGCCAGGATAGCATATAGTGAAGAATGATAGAAGTGTCCATGCTCCCTTTGTGTTCAAAAGTCTTGGCTTTAAACCAAGAGTGTAAAACATGTGACCCTCCAAATGTTGGCCTACAACAGGATAGCATATAGTGAAGAATGATAGAAGTTGCCATATGAAAGCCACACTTTTGCCATCCATATTTTTATACAGTGGTGCCTCGCTAGACGATGATAATCTGGAAGCTACACTTTTGCCATCCAGATTTTTATACAGACGATGATAATCCGTTCCACTGAAATCGCTGTTTAGCGAAATCATTGTCTAGTGAAAAGCATTTCCCCATTGGAATGCATTGAAACCTGTTTAATGTGTTCCAATAGGGAAGAGCCATCATTGTCTAGTGAAGACTGGCCATAGGAAAGCCGCTTTGCGAACCGCCGATCAGCTGTTTAAATAGCTATCTTGCGAAGCTTAGGTCCCAAAAACACTCGTTTTGTGAGCACGGAGGGAGTTGTCAAAATCGTTGTCTAGCGAAAATTGGTTGGCGAAGCAGGGACCAAACATTGTCCAGCGAAATTCCCCCATAGGAATCACTGTTTTGCGAATCGCTATAGCAATCGCAAAAAGTCAATGTCTAGCGAAAAAACTGTCATGCAGGGTAACTGTCTAGCAAGGCACCACTGTACTCTGAGGAAAGAAGTCAATATTATGGAAAGCCTTAAATGACTTATCTATTGAAGTGCAAAGAAGAAAGAATGGAAGTAAGCTGGCATGTAGATCAGGGGTGGGGAACCTCTGACTGGGGTCAGACATGGCACCCACTATTAGTGATTGTAGATCAAAGGGTATGTAATACTGGAAAGTACTTTTGCTCCACTTCACAACTTGGGAATCTTAGACTTCAGCTGCTCTTTGTAGCCTGGGAAGATACTTGCACTTAGGATTTGTCCTGAATAAACATGCCTAGAATTAAGTTGTACTTTGCTGTTGTCTGTGGCTCTGCCCATTTTGCTTTCCCTCTGCACTTTACCCAGTGGTTCACAACCTTGGGTCCCCTGATGTTTTGGGACCAGAACTCCTAGAAGCTTTTACCACTAGCTGTGCTGGTTACAGGATTTTTGATAGTTGAAGTCCAAGAACATCTGGGGATCCTGCGTTGAACTCACCTACTTCTTGAATGTGACCCTTGAGACCTTTCCCAAATTAGAATTTGGTATCTGGGTTGAAAAAGTTGCCATATCCTTGATGTAGAATGTGTTGTTGACCTGCCATCTCAGCACAGATGGTTTGAGCAGTAGATAGTGGCAAGTACTTCTCTTAACCCTACATCTTGTGAAGAAGGCTTATCTCTTCAGTCAGGAAAATGAAGCACAAAGAGTTTAGAATTTGTCCATTTTACCATT